TCGGTGAACGATGGTTGCTTGGCGGTTATTACTTCTTTCAAGGTTCGTTCTCACAGGCAATTTTTATGTAATTCCCTTAGGATTAAACAATTTGGAAGAGGAGCGTTTGGTTGCTAGAAATTTTCTCGATTGTACTAATTCAGAAGATGAGACGTCCCGGCGAACGCACTTACGGATTTCGCTAGTAATTACGAGTCGAAACGACCGACCAATTTGACACTCGACCGATTCTCTTTGAACTCGGATTCTTGAAACTTTCAACTCAAGGCACGAGTCACATGGGATCGGTGAACGATGGTTGCTTGGCGGTTTATTACTTCTTTCAAGGTTCGTTCTCACAGGCAATTTTTATGTAATTCCCTTAGGAGTAAACAATTTGGAAGAGGAGCGTTTGGTTGCTAGAAATTTTCTCGATTGTACTAATTCGGAAGATGAAACGTCTCGGCGAACGCACTTACGGGTTCCGCGAGTAATTACGAGTCGAAATGACCGACCAATTTGACACTCGACCGATTCTCTTTGAACTCGGATTCTTGAAACTTTCAACTCGAGGCAATGGATCGGTAGACGATGGTTGTTTGGCGGTTCATTACCTCTTTCAAAGTTCGTTCTCACACGCAATTTTTATGCAATTTCTATTCCTTTAGAATTAAACAATTTGGAAGAGGAGTATCTGGTTGCTAGAAATTTTCTCGATCGTATGAATTCAAAAGCGAGATGAAGTTCTGCTGTTGTTTTATGGTCGCAAGGTTATTCGAGCCTCCGTTTGCCAATTATCTCTCCACGCGAACGATCGTGAAACATGGTCTGTTCTACTTGCTCTTTCGAACAATATAAACATCGTCCACTAGACCTGGATTCGTTAAAAAGATACGAAATTGATCAATGAAGAGAAATTTATTCGTTTGCGTGCGACTTGCAAAGGGAAAGACACAGAAAGAGAGAGAGAGAGAGAGAGAGAGAGAGAGAGAGAGAGAGAGAGAGAGAGACAGAGAGAGAGAATTTTCCAGGTATGGGCCAAAGCTATTTTCGCATCTTCCACTCGAAACCAGTTAACCCCGTAGCGTCTCTGTTTGTCTTCTTTCTCGTTCCTTGCGCCCTGTGCCAAAGCAGTTGCAATTATCGTCAAGTCTGCTCGATGCCTCTTCGTCAAGTACAAAACGGTACTATTACTATTAAAAGCAAAAGGGAAAGAGGAAAGAGAGAAAAGAATCTCGAGTGAAAATGTAAAGTGACGGGACGATACGTTCGCGAGATTTCGTACTACGGATACATATATTATACACTACAAATCGGAGATCGTGGACGCTTTACAATTCGAAATAAGGAATTCGTTTGCTAGATCTCGTTCTACGGATACATATATTACACGACGGATCGGAAATTCGTACATATGGCGCACGCTTTGCAATTCGAAATCGGGGAAGAGTTAGAAAACATTTGACAATCGTAGGAATCTGTGGTAGCCTACTTATTTTTATACGTATGTTCTTTCTTTTTTTTTTTTTTGTAGTATTTTCATATCAATAGTATAATCTTGATGTAACAATTGATTAAATCTTATTGTTCATATTTATCTATGAGATAAGATAATAATGTAAATATATATAAATTTAATATAAATCTAAGAGGCAAAAGTAATAAATATCAAATAAATTAACAATCACGAGTTCTTACAAATTTAACAAATACATCGATACTAATGCCGCGAATTTGACAGATTGTTAGATTCTGGACAATGAACGGCTAGAGGGAAACGAGTAGATGCTTATTCCGTCGTAGAAAATTCGGCTGAAAATTTATTTTCAAAGTGGCCGAACTCTCCGTGTTTTTCAACTTTGTTGCGCCTTCGTCTTATTTATTTCGAGCTGTGGAATCTCCCTTGCTTCGAATTATGTCGTGTGTACATCGGTAAGCGGGCGACGGCGATATATTAAAAGGCCAGAAAGGTGTCGGTGGTTTGAAATGGTGGATCCGGTGCGTAATCGCGAGCAAATTTACGCGTATTTACATAGCCAGCCGGCGTTTCAGCCGAGTGGAAACAAAGATGAACTCGGCGGCGTGCTGTGGGCGTGCACGATCAACGTCGTTCCTCTCTCGTCTCACGAATGATATTGGCAACGGAAAGACGACACCTTTTCGCCCCGAAGCAGCAGCCAAACAAACCTAAAGCTGTCAACGTGAGTTGTCGCGGCGCCGTGAGATTCTCCGTTTTCTTCTCAGTCTTTGTTCTCTCTCTCTCTCTCTCTCGCCGCCGGAAATAATACGCGGATTTTTTCTTTTCATCCCCCACTTGTCGCGTTCGGACTTGGCGCCAATATCATTTTTGTTTTTCTCCCCTTGCACCTTTCTCTCATCGATCAGTTTCTGCTTTCCCCTCGGTTTCGCGAGAAACACATCCTTTGCACAATGAATAGCGCAATAACCAGCGAATCATTCGTGATTAACACTAAGACTACCGACGAAAAAGCATGATATTCATAGCAAAGAAATTCAAACGCAAGGTACAAGAAAAAGTTGATAATTCAACATAAAGGAGACAAGCTTCTATTAATATATTTTATTAAAAGTCACTCGAGTATAAAATACACTGCTGTAAATATGTGAAATTTCCATAGAAATATTATATATTAGTCTTATATATATATATATATATATATATATATATATTATATATTACATATTAATATTAGTCAGATATTATATATTATAATATATATCTGACTAATATTAATATATAATATATATGACTAATATATAATATTTCTATGTAAATTATATAATATATAATATATAATATCTGACTTCGTATTATATATTATATATAATATTATATATTAGTCAGATTATAAATTAATAGTCATTTCGACCACTTTGGTAATTTAAGTGTTAAGGAAAGACACATAGATTTGTTATCGTTTGTTTTATCAAATGATCTTGTCTCACGATCGTTGCTGCGAATTGCTCGTGGTGCTTGCTTCGATTCAATGTCAAATTTTTTACCAAGAACATTGTGCAATGAGGGAATCCCGCTGTTGGAATTACGTTTTCCGAATCGCGCGTCGTTCCATCAGGTCGATTGTTATTTACCTGAGATTCGAAGCAGAAATTGAAACCGGTCTTATTATTCGATGAGACTTGCATCTGCCTGCGTGTAATTCTAAACGCGGTGCTCTGGCAAGTCATTACCGCGTCGTGTGTCACGTGGACCACTCGCCAATTTCCGGACAAATTCGGTTACCGTTCGAAACGAATCAAAACGAAAAATCTCTCTAATTCTCCTTCCTCTCCTCCATAAGTGTTCGTCTGAACTTTCTTTATTCTTGCAGAATAGCTCGATTTCAATTTGAATACGGTTTGTTTAACCTCTGATCGTTCGAGTAACATAACTGGTGAGAAATTATGTTTCGTCTTGCGTATCTGACAAGTTTCATATTTCCTGAAAATTGCGGAAATCTACGAGAAGTGAGGATGAAATTGATCTATTTTTTCGAGATGCCAACGCATTTTTTTCGATCCAAGTTTCCACCAGTCGTTTCTCCATTTTGGTTCTAACAGGTTTTTCCATAGAACTATTTTCTTTCGGTGTCACCCAAGTAACGTTAACTTATAATCTTCATTTGTTAATTAGGATCGTTTGTTAATTAGACCGCGAGTTCTCGTTTCGTCTCTCCGCGAAACTCGCGCGAGAAAATTCGAGCGCAAGCGCGTAAATTTTAGTCGGTGGACGCGCGACAGAAAGGACAGCCCCGAGTAGACCTGTCTAGACGCACAAATCGCCTGTCAACCAGGCGCCTTCCTGTAAAAATCGCTCGTACCTCTTTTTAGAAAAAGAAAATCAGAAACGATCACCGTTTCTTAGACACGACGAGTCGCTTGGTTTCTTTTTTCTTTTTTTTTCAAATTATAAATTATACAATTAACGTAGAGCAGAAACGACCACCGTTCTTTTAGACATAACAAACATCTGTCTGTCATTAGGGCGGATCGAGTTTTCGAGCGAACACTAGCTAAAGCCAATGTCGAACTTCACGAGACACTCGAGCATAATTTTCAGTGTCGCCTGTGAAAAATTGCCTTTCCACGTTGCCGCTACTATATTCCATTAATTGATTTCGTTAATTATTATTACTAAAATTATTAATTATCATTATCAGAATTTGTATAAAAATTATCAGCTAAATATTGCCAAGTAGCGCTGAACTTGGCTCAACTTCTGAGAGAAGTTAAAAATAAAGTCACTTGCTGAAAGTAATTACTGAGAGCGTAGAAGACGTAGATGAATGAAACGTAATTACAATCGCCAGTAGTGGAAGAGAATTTCTCTCGGATCGAGGAAGCTCGTACGTGCAATCTGGCCAATAACGCGGTTAAATAATGCGGCTGCGAATCGGGGAACCAGACGGTGGATTAATAATCCGTGTTACAAAGCTCCGTTTTCACGGATTGCATGATTAGACAGGGTTTCGAGATTGAAACTGGGCGATGCTCGTCGAACTGTCTCGGACTAGCTCTGCCGGATGTCGGGGGAGAGCGCGGTCTTTCACGCCATTCGTGGCAGACAGATAGCCTGACGCGTTATCGCGTTCGGTGATAAAATAATTCCGCGATTGGAATTGCCTTTCTCCGACTAAAGATGGAACCGAGTGTTATTTCTGCCGCCGGCAGAGTTGTTCTTATCTCACTGGAAAAGAGCAAAATAGAGTAAAATAAAGTTAGTTTTCCAAATAACAATCTAAGCAGAAAAGAAAGGATAGCTATGACCAGGCTTCTAATAGGACACTCCAAGATCACACATGAATACCTACTAACCAAAACGGAACCTCCTTTCTGTAACACCTGCAACCTACAAGTCATCACCCAGCACCTACTACACGAATGCAGAAAATACCGAAGCATAAGAAGTAAATATGGATTAAACGAAAACACTGCTCTAACCTGCCAGAAACAACAAAAAAAACATTATCAACTACCTAAAGGAGATCCAACTACTAGACCAGTTATAAAGAGTCAATTTTGACATGTCGCTAAAGACCTCGTAGTCGATGCGACGCTAAACCCTCCCCCATTTAAAAAAAAAAAATAAAAAAAAAAGTTAGTTTTATTTGGCGGGCTGATTAGTCGATGGACTGGCTCGGCTATTTCCTTTCTTCTCTTCTTTAATAAATAAATCCCGTTGCTTCGAACAAATGCGATCGAAATCTCGACTCTCGTTCATCGTTTCCCCATCAATATCACTGCTCGATCGTTGCTGGCGATTACGTTCTCTCCATTTATTTATCGTTCGATCAACCGACGCAGCGTAACGTCGACGTAGCGATTATGCTTAGCATTACGTGGTTTCAATTAAACTCGTCAATCGACTGAACGAGCGAGGAATTTGTTTATCGCACGGACGGTGCATGATACGTGGTTGCGCACATAAGAAGCCAAAAACGTCATTGACGATCCGATCAATTACTCGCCGTCAACAGGCCACCAATAACATCGAATTATCATTTTATTTTTCTCGCTAGCTAGATCGACACGGCCGCGTCGAGTTTTTTTCCAGGAATTCTCTGCAACTTCTGCGACTCCGATACTTCGCGCGCGCTTGTATGTAATTACAAATGATCGCAGTTGTGTCGTGCACAGTTTGTTATTGACTTCGTTGTGTCGGCGTTGTAATCTAATTTCGCGTCAACGATGCAGAATATTTTTAATGCATTGTCTAGGTCAAAAATTACAGTTTATCGCCTATGTTGACCCGTTTTGCTCGCCTCTTATCGCGTCATTTTCCTTTCCAACGTCAGATTGTAGCTGATGAGCCTACGAATTGATAACCTACGAACAGACTGACGAATTCGGTAAACTTTTCTTTTTTCTTATTTACGCTGTAGAAACCCTCTGCAGGGTTATTAGCAGCTGTGCATACTAACAGTACAGAAACAATTTGGCAAACTTTTGTACAAGGATTACACTGATATACAACTAAGATACATGTTTGCTATTTACATTTTTACTTGTAACTAGAGCTTACAACTAAAACTAAGAGAACTGTTAAGTCACTGAGAAACACAGCTAAGAACTCGACACAGATCCGTTACAGATGCCAACCATGGCTTTTGAGAAATTTGTGAATAATCTATGGTTTATATTAAATAACAGAGGAGTGGTTTATATTAAATAACAGAGGAGTGATCTATGGTTTAAGTGGTTTATATTATTTAATATGATTTATATTAAATAACAGAGGAGTAATCTATGGTTTGCTTAAAAAAAACAGTCCATTGTGTGGAGAGGGAAATAACCGATTCCACATTCGGTAAACTTCAACGATGGAATTTTCATCTTCATCGGTTGTCGATCTTTGCGAATTCTCTTGTGGACCATTCTTGGAATTTTTTTATTCCATTCGTTCATTATGTCGTTAGAATATCGCGCCGGTGATCTCTTGACATCGAAGGATCAGTGTCGATGTTGGCAGCAGCACGATAAATCGTTTCGGAAAACATCACCGCGCTGGTTGCCGGTTGATCAACCAAATTGCGGTTGTAAACGCGCAATAAACCGATGATGCTGCGTATCGATTGATCGTCGGAAATTGGAGCGAAACCGCAGTACAGGTACGCGCGATGATCCATCGATCTGTTGCCGATCAGATCGATTTTCACATATTCTGGAAGAAAATGACGTAACTGCAAGCAGCGGACGTATCGTAGAGAATCGAAGACGTATCTTATCGTTAAAAGGGACTACCGATGGGGCGTAGATCCTTCAAATTATACGTCAAGTGTGCTTCTTCTCGATTTAATTGTCTCATCTAAGTATCGACGACATGAGAAAGTTCAGGAGACAAGTTCAGATTAAGCGAAGTAAGAGGATTAAAGAAGAATCATTTCAATAAGTAGAAATCATTTCAATTGTAGAAACTTTGATAAGCTATACAGTTTCCAAATCATTTTTGTCGCCGTTTTGTTTTTCGGATAAATTTCTTTGGACAAGCGAAACGGGTGCAATGAAATTGACAGATCAATTTCTTCGCAACGAACCAATTTTCACGTTAAACGTACGTGACGTACAACCGGATTGTCAACGAAATGCATTCACACGGATCAGTTGCTATTGGATCAAAGACAAATCGCTGCGTTATTAAAAGGGCGAAATCGCTGCATCAAGCAGCCTTTAGTAAGGACGAGCAATCGCGAGCTACTTCCCAGTCACACTTTTTTTTCACATTTTTCCTGGCAGTGATCCAGTTATCACAACTTTGCCACCAACAAAGCTGAAAGAGAAAAGCTATCTATCGATAGCCGCGCGTAGCAAGTGTCCTTGTTTGTAGTTTTAAACGGGGATTGAGCGAAGCGGGGCGCGCGTTGATCCTCCGATTTCTGGGAAACCTGGCCTAAATTCAAGAGGTCCTAAGAACATCTAAAAATAATCTCGGTTGCGTCTGGCGATTCTGGACGTTGTAAATCTGTCCGCTCTCCTACCATTTCTCCTTCTCGCGGTCTTTCCTTAACCGAGAATTGAATTCATAGGTGGCGAAACACATTTCCCTTTGCCATTGCTTTGCCATTTCTCTTCCATCCCGTGGATAATTTCTTCTCCTTATGAACACGTTTATAGTCTTCTCTTACGATTCATTATCCCACGGGATTACCCACGGGATGTACTTGCACTAGACCCTCAGATGGGTTAACGGCTAAGCAGGAAAGTAATATTTACATAAATTACAATTGCAATCGATTGCTGTCTTTGGGTGTAAAGCTTTTTATAAATTGAATTAATCCTTTGACCACTGTTGGCGCATGATAAATTTGCGTTTGTGACACTGTAGGCGCCTAAGTCTCTTTGATCGAATGTCGCGACCAGGAAATTTTATCGACCATAATTCCAACAAATCTCATTTGAACCAGACGTAAGTGAATGCTAATTCAACAATTACGTATTCTGTTGGTCATATATTATTTAAATATATTTCTCCAGTTATTTTTCTTTTTTGTTCTTTTATACCCTTAAAACTGAAAAATCGGGATAATAAAATGGTCAGAGAGTATAGTACGTGCAAGTACAATAACAAAAAATTTAACATCAAAAGAATGAAAAACTTCATCGACGAATCTACTAATTTATTTCTGTACAGTGTCAATTCGTTTTATTTGAGTTACCAATTCAAGTGTCAATTCGTCAAAGTTGAAAATTTCTCTTTAATTAAGTGAAACTTCCGTCAAACTGAGCTCTTTCTCTGGAACGTAAGGATCGGTCTCGGCGACGTAGATTTAAGGAAGAAAGGAGCGTTGAAGGGAAACAAAGTTGTTTTGCCGCGACCGGCCGTGAGGGAATCGAGAATTTCGTGACTCAGCCAGATAGCATTTGATTAGTAGGATGAGTAAGCGATACTAATTTCGTCGATCGACCAGACGTTCGCGGTCCATTCTAATTTTCTACGCAGTCGGTTTCATCCGACGGTGAATCTACGCACATCGCGTTATATCGAGAACGCGAAATGTGTTTTTCACGTACGCGAACGCTGTGTTATGCTATCTTGGCGCCTACGTCGTCGTTACTCTCGCCCCGGTTGAAAAATATCGTCGGATGAAATAAAGAAAGAAAAAAAAAAAAAAAAAAAAAAAAAAAAAAAAAAAAAGAAAAAAACACGTCGCTGCTGCGACATGAATGATGAACGATTTCGAAGAAATTTTCTCTACTCTTAGGATCGTGGATATTTCTGAGAGTTTTGAATATCGCCGATAACTTCACTTATTCGCCGTTAAGTGGATAACTAACGGATATACTAATTCTTTTCGCATCTATCCCTTCTCTTCCTTTTTCTCTATTTGCCCCTGGTCTCGAAGAAGATTAGCTTATCTAGCCTCTTTGCAGGGTTGTCCATTTAAGTGACGCCACTTGACACATCTTTTTAAATCGTGACGATGCGAAAAATATCCTTCGCCTGGTACCGAGTGGCCGACAAGAATATTTTCACGCCAAGGTCATTCTTTTCAGAGCTTTCAAGATCGTTGATGTCTTTCTTTCTTTCTTTCTTTTTTTTNTTTTTTTTTTTTTTTTTTTGTTTTTTCATGCAACCGTCTGTTTTCTTTATCGCATCGCGTGGTTTGCAGAAAAATACGTTCGGTTATTTAGAAGAAGAGCACGACCTTGAAGTGACATTGACGTCCAAAAATTCGTCGGCTAACCTTAGAATTATCGTTTCGAGTAGCCGCCGCGTTGCAGAATTGCGCTCGAAATGTGTTTATTCTCACCGTTGCGATCAATTTATCATTTGGGCCGCTTTCGTAGAAATCCACGATCGGAGAAAGTCATTTCGCGGCTCGTCCAGGTTTGAGGATCGCTCGGTCGCCCGGCGAATGATTTATAATTCTGGCAGAGGGTTCAAAGAACGGATCGTAGAAGAGTTAATGATCGAGACGGTCGCTCGTGTTAACGGTATTAGTAGAGCCGCTTAAGCGTACAGTGACACACGTTCACGAGGGTCGTAGTCGTTCGAAATAGCAATTGTTCTCCGACGTTCTCCAAGGCGTCGTGTCGTAGACCGCCTGCCGCCGTAGTTGCAAATGAATAGGAATTAGCACGACGCTCGCACCTTTTTTTTTTTTTCTCTCCTTATTAAGACATCGACGCGTTGATACTTTCGCGTTTTAACGGAATTTATCTTTGCGCGTTCCAATGCAGGTTTTCTATTTCCAGCACAGTTTTATCCACTTTTTGCGCGTTCCAGTGCAGGTTTTCTATTTCCAGAACAGTTTTATCCACTTTTATGCAAGTAGGAATTTCTTTATCGTACCAGATTGAAAAATTCCATTTCAAAAGGGGGGAGATCTGTATCGCTGCCGCGATTGGCTGAAGTTGTCTAGTATGGGGCCTCTCTTAATAGCCTTAGCCTATATATATATATATATATATATATATATATATATATATATATATATATTCGTGATGCGACTATCGAACGCGACATTTTTTTGTTCGCGACGGAGCGTTTGTCAGTTGTTTCGTTTTGCACGTTCT